TTAACAAAATAATAGAGCAACGGAAACTCTGAAGGTATGATTAGATGCAATAAAAATAAAAGTATCGGCACTGACTTATTTAAAGTTATTAGATATATAAAAGCGGGGCTGTAACGTAGTTGGTGGTCATATCTTCGCGACCACCATCGGGTTTTCGACTCATCGCAGCTGTATAACTTGCCTCGCACAACTTTATATATAATCCAAGATCACAATGAAATGGGCGTGCCTAATTCTCACAAAGTAGTTCAGTCTATAGAATATATACATATATCCTACGGCTGGTAGGTGTCAATAATATACTATATTAAATATATATAATACATCAAGGCAATAGAGCTATATCGCACTTATTATCCATTTTTCGTTGGCTATATGCCGGGTAGACTTGATTCACAATTCACAATTCACAATTCAATTCACTCCGTTTTTTCACACTAAATTTATCCCTAAATATCATCCTTCGATCCTTTTTTTCCTTTTTCCACCCCATTCAAATATCATTATTTTCAAAATTTTATATATTTTAAACAATTGATTTGTTGCAAGCTCAGATAAAAGTTTTTTTTTAAATTCATGAAGATACTCCGATCAATACCGCAATTGGTAGTATACGGTAACATATATTTTTCTCATCGGCTTGGACGAAACAAATGTCAGTGGGTTTATAGAAAATTATATGTATACAGCGTATATATATCGGTAATACTCTGACCATCTACATTGATATTTATAATTTTATTAATTTTTAATACTATTCTATATATATATATATATATCTTTTCTATAAGAAATTTCTTTAAAAATAAAATGTAATTTCAATTTTTCAAATAAAATCAGTCTGATGATAAATTTTACATGTCAATTAATCTATAAAAAAACGATTATTATTGATGTTTGAATTGTGTTATAAAAGGTATACTTGAAAAAAGGTGCTTTGAAAATCAGTGCATGAAGCTTAGCAAACTTTAGTAATATAGTTCTAAATGAACTGATACATTTTGAAAAAAGTATATATAATACTTATTCTCTATTATTAACTAACAATAAAGAGTCGTTTGTTGAATTAGTCGCGCCCGTCAGAGTCAATATATGTGTATATCACTTGAGTTTTTATACATAGAATCTAATAGATACATACCCAAAATGATCAGAGTATATATTGTCTGACACTTAAACTTTTGCGAGTTTACGGGCAGATGCTTATTATATTTTCCCAACACAAAGAAAGCCGCATTTGACTCTTATTTCCATGCACTCAAACACTCCAAGCGTCTTGATCAATTTTTTTAGATTTCTATAATATATAAAGATGTTTCAACAATCCGTAGGTACATATAGCAGGTTAACGAGACTTTAATACGGAATTAAGGAGGGAGCGGAAAATTGTGGGACCAGGTAGACGATACAGCTTTATAAAAGATTATGCTCCCTATAGGCGCACACCGTTTTTTCAACAATAGACCACAAAATATTATAATACACATTACTACAAATTATAAACTACGACTAATTTTTCAACGGCTTTTCTCTTTTGGAAAATTTATCCATCAATAATGCTAGCACCTTTCAAGGATGAAATAATTACATCTGATGGTTCATTATTAACACTGCTCCAACACCCTAAAACTAAAACAAATTGATTTTGAATAAATGGGACCTCCAGCATCGTTTTAGATCTACCTATGGATCCAGGTATTAAATGACAAGCTAATTTTACGAGATCCATTTGTCTTTGTTATATATCATCTATGGTAATTTGTTTGTTGTTAATAATGTTATTTTTTTTATATTGTTTATTGTATAAAAAATAAATAGAGTTCAATATTAAAAGTTGAAATTTTGCTAATCGGCCATTTGCGACAGAATAGTCATGGGTGATAAAATTTTCACGAGAGATTTCTCACGGAAAATATACGAAAAATATAAAAGTCAAGGCATAAATTGCGAGTACCAGTTCCACGTTTAGGCTGGAGGCGGGAAACCGTCTGGCCAATACGAATCGTTCAGAGGCGTGGTCTACCTCGAGAAAAGTTATATTCTTGGTCTCAGTGCTATATGTATAACGATATAACTATACCTATATATAACTAGAGAGTCAACATCAGAGAATACTCGTTATCTTGTACCCAATACAATTCAGACCCTATGTCCTATCGTTATAATGAGTTTAAGAAATCCGATTTATGTTCCCGAGATTATTATGACTCACAAGACGGGGGCAGAGCGATTAAACCGCCGGTCATTTCACTCTGTCATATTTTTCATCCCTGTTAATTTATTCTCTGGGAAATTCATCCTTCAGCCTTTCTTTGAAAACATTTAGAAACTTTTAAAATAATAAGAATAAAATCTTTTTGATTCGATATTAAAACATTACTGTATAGAAAAACGAGTTTTCTTTTTCAATTAGATATACATTGTTTCCGTTGGGCAATATAGAACAACGATGTTCTATGTCAATATGCATGGAGTTCCATGTCAATAAGTACTCAAATAAAATAAGAAACCTTCGTGAATATATATAAGCACTCGATATACGTCAACTTTAGTTGGCAACAAAAGGGATGAAATCTCAGAATTGGTCGAATAAGTGCGGTTGCACACACACCTCACCGCACATCCTCTCCTTTCAGAATTGCCCTATGCATATCCGCCAACTCACATGCTTTGCCTGTAAGTTGTTAATTTTTTTTTCCCTCTTCAATGGATGATGACGGATAAGAGTATATAGCTCAAGTTTTAATTTGTGGCCTATATTATATACTTAAATTTTTTGAAATCCCGCCCCAGAAAGGATAATCAGTGGTGCAGTAGGGCAGCTGCACTAAAAAATACCCTTCATTCATTTACTCATTTATCATTATGGCCAATTCATACAATATACTTTGTTGTTTTTCATCAAAACAAAGTTTTTTCAATGTAATACACTCAATATGTAATAAATATTATATTATTACTATTATAATATTTAAACCTTAAATTATATTTCTCATTCATATTCAATTCAATAATAATATACTTTTCTATATTATGTTGTTGCAGAATTGTTGTATTTTAATTTAAATTATTATTTATAACAATTCTTTAATATAAATAACTTTTGACGTGGAAAGAAACATGATTATTTTTACCAAGAATAATTAATAGAAAGATAATTTTATTTTAGTGTTTGTGACAGCTCTTTAGACAGTTAGCCAAATTTTAACTGACACAATAAATGGATGTTTCAAATTTTGACATTAAGTGATGAGTATGACAATAAATATTTTACTTTTTCATTAAAATATGCAGTAAAAAGATTTATTTATGGTAGAATAAGTAGATTTAAAAATCTAAACACATAGGTTATCCTATAGTTTTGAGGCTGTAAGCTGTAGGACCTGGTTAAATAATATCGGTGGATGATACATGCTAAATGCCGGCAAGATCAAAGCATCAAAGCACACCGACGGAATCCGGTGGCCAAGGTATCATAATAATTTGCCGAGACTCGCGCCTCTTTGTATTAGGATAGTGGAGCCGCCGGCCTTAAAAAGACCATCACTCGTCTTCTCAGCCACTGACGCTAAATTGAAGCTAAAAGGACTCTAAAAACGTTTTACTGATCTCTTATATCTGTATATAATATAATACTCTTTTATCGTTTGAACAGACACCTTCTTTCATTGTTCAAAGCATCAAATTATATATATTGCTTTTTCTTTATTTTATAGCAAAAATAGCTCGACATTTTTTAAAAGTGCTGCTTTTGTGACATTTTTTAATAGTTAGAACACATTATTTTGGTAACTTGATCAAAAATATTACATATATATATATATAATAGGTATTGAATCGAATTTTAACTCACTGTTTTATCTGAAATGGTGTCAGACAATTTGCTAATTAGAACGTCGATAGATTTATTTGCACAATAATTTGATTACGCCTTTTTTTTAAATAAATTACTCAAAAATATGTTTCTTACAGTTCTACATGATTTTATACAAGTATACGATAATAGTTAAAAAAAAAAAAAAAAAAAAAAGTAAGTTTAAATGTATATGGAATAGCAAAACCGCATCATTATAACGATTCCGATCGATTTCTTAGGTAAGGATTTACAATATGTCGAAGTTTGATTATAGTAGTCTTTAAGACAGTAACTATGTCTCGTAAAAATGCTATTGAACGATGCAGTCAAGGGAGGAATATCAGAAAGAGTATCAGGTTGAAAGAGCGTCATTTTCCCGTCGGAGTTGTGTTAGTGTTGGGTATTGGATTTACCAAGGGGAGGTTACTAAAGTAGTAACGCCCTCCAGGAGGCAGAACTTACCTTTGCGAAAACGTTTGATGTATGCCGGCTAGCCCCTCTATCTCGCGGTGATACTTTGAGCTGGGGTAGGCGTAAGCACTCCACTGGAAGCGGTACCGGTTCAAACCGTTTTGAGTCACTGGCTTGAGCTGGCGTGTGTGCTTCAACAACCGGCTTGAAACTATTTTTTCGGATTCACATTCAATAATCTCTATCTATTCATACTCTGATAAGTGATTCACTCTTACAATATCAACACAGTATTTATTCTATTCTATTATTTTTTATAAGTGATGTGTGGATATATGATACATTCAATATTGATTACGTAACGTGTGTGTATTTGTGTTTATTGATTTATCATTTTTCCTGATAGTATTACATTTAAATTGGAGTAAAACAATATTTCGACTATTTATTTATTGGTTTTTCTTATTTTTCTTTGAAATCTATGGTATATAAAATTGTTTATTGTTACTGTTGTTATTAATCTAAATTGTGTTACGATGAATATACTAATAAAAAATTGAAGAAAATAAATGATAAAGTTTGTTGGTGACGTTGCTGAAAAGTTTTATCAATAATATATGTATATAAAAAATCAGTGTGAGATTGTTTTAGTTATTTACAATAAAATATTGTATGATAACGCGGTGAAACGTAACTTGGTAAGCGACGGTAAACGTAACCTGAATGCACCTATATGACTCTTGTAAACGTAGACATATATCATCAGCCGGCGGGATTATTCGGAGTGAGCATGTGCACAACCGAAATGACCGAAGGCTACAGCATGTCCCCATCAACGGCTTCCTCAAGTGGCACTAATCCTGGGTGTATTGGGTCACCAATAAGCAGAATAACACCCTTGAGAACTTCACCAGGAAGAGCGCGAGAGCCCCGCGATGATCTTGATGACGATGACGAAATATCAGTTGGTTGTCCAAGCCCCATGCCTCTGGTTGTATCTGCGGGGACTCCGATAAAAGATGAGCAGAATGAACGGTTGACACCTGTCTTGTCTGAAGAACCAAAATATTGTGAAAGATTGTCATCACCAAGGAGTTACGCCGACGACGATGAAAGGTACTTGAAGAAGGAAGACGATTATAATAATACCAGTGTTACCACCTCACTCACCAGAAGGATTTCGTCCTCATCCAGGCGGACCAGTTTTAAAGAAGAAGAGGACGGTGATAATAACGGCGAGAGATCGGAAAGTGCTCCGACCGATGACTATTTTAAGCCGCTAAAAAAACTCAAAATGGTTCAGCCTGTTCAACCCTCCGATGACGAGGATGATCGGGACACCAATGAACACGGTGTCAAATCCTTCAGTATTATTGACATACTCTCTCATCGGCCAAAAGCTAAAATTGTAAGGCCTTGGGACTCTACTGAATCCTCAAATAATCATCACAGACACCAACAGCTCCAAGAACAGCAGCAGCAGCAGCAACAACAACAACAACAACAACAACAACAACAACAACAACAACAACACCAACAACAACAACAATCGCTTCAACATCTTCATCACCATCCTCATCACCATGCGTTGGCCCATTCTTCCCCGCGAGATTTATCGCTGATGACCATGTCCCTGGCTTCCATGTCGAGTTCGATGAGCGAACCACCTCTCAGCAGTTCATCCTCTTCGGGGAGAAGTTCTGTTTCGGATTCGGGGAGTCCTGATCCACATGCTCACCATCATCTGCACCATCACCATCACCAGCATCACTCGTCGATACACCACGGGTTACATCATCCGGGGATTCACCATCCTGGAATCCAGCATCAGCTCAAGAGAAAGTCCAGCCATCAGCACCAACAGCAGGCCAGTCAGAGCAGTCATCACGGGAAAAGAAATACTGGGCAGGGTAGCCCTTTGGATGCTCTCTTTCAAATGACCAGCAAAACTTTTGATGCTGGCGAACACAGTCAAGGTAAGAACAATACTGTTTTGTCTTATACTATCAACATCAACAACTGTACAAACTATCATTCTACATAAACATAGGTGTAAATAATGATGCACTTATCTTTGTAAATAGTTGGAATAATATTTGAATAATAATGGAGCAATACTTTCGACTGCTATTAGCAGAAATATGAAATGTTGTATTGGTTGATAGTAGTTGATGCAAATATAACTCTTGTTACTGAATAAAGTACATGAGTCTTGGTTGTTGGTGCATGTCGTAAGCGATAAACAGAGCCTGTCAGTTTAAAACATCATTCACTGTTTTACAATTTATGAAAACGCTAATTAAGTGTGATATAGTGGAAAATTATTGTGAGAGAGTTAGACGCCAAAGAGTAATCCTTCTATCTCTATAATATATGATAATAATGGAAAATAATAATAAGGCCTTTAGAGATTGTACATTACAGATATATACATATATAATGCATCAAAAGTGCATGAGATATGCTTGCATTTTTATTATTTATAAATAATATACTTTATTTATTACCTCGTTAACATTAACGATTGTAAATTATAAAATATATACATATAGAAGAATATTTATTGAAGAAAAAAAAAAAAAAAAAAAAAAAAAAAAAAATATTAAAAGCATTAAAGAGAATAAATAATATTTAAACTAAAAGATAACAATGTTTATCTTGATCGTAAAAATGGATTTTTTTTGACAAACATTTTAAAATAATTGCGTTAAACACACAATCGTGTTACCCGGGATTTAACTGATCCGTCTAAAAAGTACCTAAGGGCTTAAGGAATGGGATAATGTAATGCTCGTAAAATTTCATATTTTCGGTTATCCTTTTAACCTAAGATACCTCTCTGGTATACTATACAGTATATCTTCAGCATTAGTTTTCACTTTATTTTTATCTTTTTGGTGGTAAACAAAAATTTTTTCTGTATTACGTTAGGGATATGCCCTACAAGTTTTATAATTCTCATCCCAAACTACTTTGTAGTTGTGTTATTGACAATAGATATTATTTAACAGTATTTACAAGAGGTATAAAGTTTTACTTGAGAAAAAAAAAAACATTCTTTAAATTTTAGTTAATAATTTACACTATATGCTAGACATTTGTAATTGATTTTGTTGTTATACTTTATTCAGAGCGGAGTGATACATTTATTTGCTTGTTTTTTATTTACTTGTTATTCTTTTCTGTTTCAAAAGTAATCGTGGTCGTAGTTTGTCAACTTTCACAATTGTATATAATGTACAACAATAATTCTTTTTATACATATATATATATATATATATATACTTTCATAACTAAACTAAATTAAATATTTATCTTCTGCGATATATATGGTTGTATAATATACATGTATGTCTAGGCAAAATTATATATACTTAAAGATATCAATTATTTAAAAACAACAAGATCGATAAGTAATTATTTATATATATAGATATGTGAACATTAATAATTAAATAATAAATAACTCAATAGAAAATTAAGTATAAAAAGTTAGCGAATCATCCACGTGTGATTGATGTACTATTATTATTTATATAATTGATTATTTGCTATATCAACACTTTACATATTTATAAATACATATATATATTAAATCAACGTATATTAATATTCACTGAAAGAGATACCGGGTAATATAAAACTTACCGAGAATATCTCTTGCTTTATACAAATATGTCTGTATAGATATATATGTGTTTATGTATGATGAGTTAATTATAACGATTTTATACCGGTATATAAGCAGAGTAGTCTACTAATATCAGTGCATTGTACCCATTTATTAAACTAATAAAAAATTATAATACGTACATCATTTATGAGCTTATATATGAGAAAAGCAACTCACATTAATAACTAGAAAAAAAAAAAGAAAAAATTAATTCAAATTCAAGAAAAAGTAGATAATAGCCACGGTAAAATCATAAAGAACATCAATACACATAACACATTTATTGGAATAATTTATTGTCCATATATAACAGTATACGTTTCGCATATGTTCGATATTTTAACATATAGCGTGATATAAATTCGACAGAAACGCGTATTTTAAATATTTTTTTAAAAACTTCCGAGGAATATATGTATATCGACAAAAGAAAATTCGAGGGCTTCCGTACACGTATTGGTTCGACATTGCGTGAATGAGAGGCGACGGCGTTTGCTGTACTCCACCATGAGGATCCGGTTCTCCACGCTTGCATCAAGATTGCACAAGACGTACCTTATGTAAAACGGCATATCAAACATACTGTCTTATAAACGAACAAAAATATTAAAAGTAGAAAAAAAAAAAAAATATTCAGTTAAGCGTACAACAATAACAGTCCTTCACATACCTATAAGAAATTATTGACAATGTCAAAAACGCAACATAGTCAGTCAGTCGTACAATTTATTTATAAATTTAGGATGTACAAAGATAAATGAGTGATAATGAACCTCGGATTAATTAATCAATTGCGTGACAAAATCATATAATTGCACACATAAGCATAAAAAAATAATAAAATCGCGTGTTTATTGTACCGTGATTTTAAAAGGTCTCTTATTTATAAAAATAATAAATTTTTTCTTAATAATAATTCAAACTATATGTAATTGTTGTAAAAAAGGTAATTGTCAAAGTTATAGCATTGAGATTTATCGTTTAAATAAAATAAAATGTACGCGGTAATGAGATTTATAAAAATATATAAATGTATATATAAGCTATACTCGATGAGAAAAGATAATATACAACTGATTTGTTGTATGTATATTTTTATTTTCGATTATGCCATCGAATTGCAATCGAATTACCGTCAATAATATTGAATGGAATAATGCGCAAAATATTATTCAATACGTGTTCGATTATCGGTGGAGACTGGTAGGTATCTGATCTGTAAGTAGAAGGGGAATTGAGATTCAAATTAGATTAGGTATAGCTGAGCTGATGGCACACAGTAGCCTCACGTACTTGCAATTTACTTTTGATTACTGTGCTCCCTATATCCTAATACCGCAGCTCTGTCGGTATCTTCTTTTATTCTTTGATAATGATAATATTTACTTGAGAAAATATTATCCCTATCCTTCATATAGATACAAATTGCATCAAAATCAATTGATAATAAATTACAATACCATTTAACATTTATTTTATTATTTTTTAATTTAATAGAACAAAAAATATTTAAAAGACTAATTGCCGATGGAATTTATGAAAGTGGACACACGTCTCGCTCCATAACATTCACCAAAAAACAACTACTTAACTCGAGTTTACTTTCCGGGTTTGTATCCTTTTATTTATTATCTGAAAAAAACTCTGTGAAATGGGACAGCAGAAAAAAGCTTTACAAAATAATACAACTAATACCGAGATGATAGGAGGAAAAATAAGTATATAATAGTTGGGCACACTTCGCTCGAGATGTTGTGACATTTTACCGTATAAACAAAACACCACTCGTAAAATAACGTACCAGTGGCCTTAAAAAAACCTGGAAAAAAAGGAGAGAAAAAGAAAAAAAAAAAAAACAGAGTTTTTACTCGATATATACTACTTGGGCTCCCGCTGTTTAAAAGTGACCCGTCTCAAACTTTTATTCGTATACCACTCACACACAGACACATATAAACCGTAGACACATGTCAATAAGACCCTTGTTATATTTATATTATATACGTTTCACCAAAAATTATCCCTAATGTCCTTTAAAGTAAAAACAATAATTGCTACGTCAACTCATCATCGTTATAAACTTCCATTAATACATAAAAACTTTTTGCAATCATTTTTCAAGTTTTAAATAATATAATAACGATGACGGCGATCAGTTTTATTGCAAAACTTTAACTTTTAAACAAGCTTATACTTTAATCGAGTTTTCAAAAAAAAAAAAAAAAAAAGTTTATTGATATAATTTGTCAAAAGGAAATAAATCCAAGAGTTTTATTCGAAAAGCGAGTGATGGAAATGCATTGGCTGATAATGATGATGATGATGATGATGATGATGATGATGATGATAGTGGTGGTGGTGGTGGTAGAAGTGTACCTATTGCGGGAAATAATTCTCAATTAGTTGTAAATCTTAGGAGAGCTCACTAAGTCGTATTTATGTTGAGTAACACGGACCGTCGGATTTATATTGGATGGTGAAGGAAGATTTATAGGAGCAATCGGTCTCACTTTGTCCATGATCTGCTTCTCGATGGTAGTCTGTGTGTCTCTCCAATCGGGATACGGGGGGATGGTTATTTTTCTTGCTCCAGCACAACTCGGTCCTTGTTCCTTCTCCCGTTTAACTGGGCATTAATACCTCTCTCGATCACGACACACCAGACGACACGATACCATGAAAAGTATAGTAGCTGAAAAGACGACCACAGGCAGTTTCGAAATAACTCCCGTGTAGTGCATAACCAAATAAAATAAAATAAAATAAAAGGGAACAATGTTAGATCTTTTATTTGACGGCAATAAGTTATCAACAGACGAAGAGCAATAATTTCGGGATAGGAGGGGTTTTCATCTCCTTGCCCTTCCAAGACTTGACGACAAATAGAAATAAATTTGATAAGGATTATTTGGTAATAGCTCTCTTGGTGGTCGTCTTTGTCGCCTTTACTTTTATCTCAAATAATACTTATTTATTATTTTTTTAAAAATAGTTTCTTAAAAGTAATGAAAAAATAAATGAAATAACAATTAAACATAACGCATAAATTTCAATGAGCATTAAGCATTAAGCATTAAGCATTCAGATGAGAATCAGGGATAGTATGTATATAGGGATAATGCCGATTATTCTCTTACCACACCGACACTGACTTGTTACATGCAAATCAACAATAATAATATATGGATGTATATGTTGAGAATTAAGTAGTAGGCCACACCACGAGTGTCTATGTATACACGTCAGACATCAGACATCACACACCGGCACCATCGCCAGTAACAACTAACAACACAAGCACCGGCTGAGCTTTATGATGGTGCTAATTGCTGACAGTAAAAGAAAAACTCTTAAAGCATATAATATACCCA